GTAGTGATTGCATACTGCTCTAACTCCTTATGACCCAAGTGTGCTATTAAGGAAAAATCAAAGAATAGCACGTGATCAATTGAGATATTATCAAATTGTTGGCTCACTTATGTATTTGGTTAGTGTAATAAGGCACGATATCTCGTTTCTTTGTGAGCAAACTTAGCCGGTTTGTTCCAAATTGGAGATACACATTGGCATGCTCTTGAGAGGGTGTTGTGCTACTGAAGGGAACCATGAGCTATGGCATTCACTATCTGCGGGTACCCGAGGGTACTAGAGGTTATTGTGATGCTAATTGGATATCGATCTTTGATGAACTGTATGCCCAAGCGGATCGCGCGTTCTTGCTTGGAGGTGGCGTTGTTTCACGAAAGTCTTGCAAGCATACCGTTTTAACGAAGTCTACAATAGAAGTAGAACTCACGACATTAGACACCATCTTATTTGAGGCCGAGTGGCTTCGTGAACTCCTAATGGATTTACCGGTAGTTGAAAAACCGATATCGGCCATTTCCATGAACTGTGATAACCAAGCGGTGATAATCAAAGTGAGCAGTTCGAGGAACAAAATGAAGTCTACAAGACATGTGAAAAGGCGGTTAAAATATGTTAGAAAGCGAGAAACTCCGGAGTAATTGCATTGGACTATGTCCATACATCAAAAGAATCTGGCGAGATCAATTCACAAAGGGTCTATCACGCAATGCGATAGAATGTGCATCGAGGGAATTGGGCTTGAGACCCACATGAAGTCATTCTATAGTGATAACTTATCCTATGTGATAGAAGATCCCATGAAGTAGGATGGCGAAACAAGCTAGTGGTTAAGCGAGGAGAGACCCCTTATGCTAAGGTCCGAATCGTTTGAGATGCACTTGTTTCTCCAATGCTGTAAGGCAGGATGGTCAATTCCTTAATGCGATCCGAGTGGCTTATTTAAGCCGGGATATTGTCCTACAAAACATCTTAGAAGGAACACACCTATATGAGTTCGATTGCTACTCACAATTTATGAGATGTGGGTAATCTCTAGATACTCCCGAAAGGCCTTGAAGTGTGACTTATATGCTTCAAATAGAGGGATGCTTGTTGCGGTCTAGTACCGGATAAGAACTTTAGTGAAACTCACCTCACACGAAACTGTCAATTCAAGGCATAGTCCATTATTCAGTTGTGTAACTGAATGTAACTGCTTTGCTCTAGATGGATGTTCAACTTAACAATCTCCATCGAAACTCGGTATATCAAAAATATGGTTTTGAGACTATTTTACTACGAACCCTAGAGTTTGGTGGGGATTGTTGGATATATTATAGGCTTGGCCCATATAATATTTAATAAATCAAATAAACTCTATGCCCCGTAATAATACGTGATATATGGTTTAATACCGAACGGGATTTTAACAAGATGTTGACTCGGTTTATATGGTTGGACATTGTCTATCTATATTGAGAAGCTGAGAAAAGGACGTGGGTGTGTCCACACGCCGCGCCTTGACGCCGCCGCCGCCGCCAGCGGCCGGGCAGCGTGGGCGTGGTAGGCGGTGGCAGGCGGCGCAGACGGGGACGGGAGTGGTTTTGCCACTCAATCCGCATAATTACGGTAGTTACTCTCTTTTATGTTGGAGGTGGCTTCATTGCGGGAGTTTTCTCTGAGCCTCTTCGCTTCCCCACTGTGAGCATATATTCCGAGCTCCTCCGTCAGTCATTCCTCTTGGCTTCCACCACATATTCAGCTACTCTTTGGTTCTCCCCATCCTGGTTCCTCGGGTGAAGGGCGACAATCACATTTTTAGGGAGTGTCGCTGGCGGCACGACTACTTGCTACGTCTACGTCCTCTTCTTCCCGGTGCGGCGCACATTGAAGATCCTCCGCTGATCGGCACTCTTCCCGTCTGCACTGCAACGAGCGGGACGACTACACCGACATGCACTATGTCATCGAGTGCATCCGGCTCTGCCGCTAGGTATGTTTTTGGAACGAATCATCTAAGGTCTTAGCTATCGATCCTTAGTTTGAGCATCATCTACATGCTCGTCACGTTTAAGACACACAAGCACATATATGATGTCACCAACATGATCATTTTATTTAATGTCTTTTTCTGGATTAAATTGCTGCTAAAATTGCCTAATATTCTAACAATCCAAAAACGTGATAGGCAATTTTCGATAGTTGGCTTTGCGAGTATGCTGAAACCGAATGTCTTTGAGCGCACTCATTACAAGAGGTGGCGGCAGAGGTGCATTCTGTGGTTGACTTCTATGCACTGCTATTTTGTTGCTGAATTTAGGGCTGTTGGGCCGCATCCTCCACATGAATTTCGAGATAGGTTTGTATGTGAACTTTAGGAAGCGATGAAATGTCAAATTCCAAGCCAAATAACTTAATTTATTTATTAAGTAGATTTTAATTCCGTCAAATAAAAGGATCCAAACAACCTCTGACATTTATTTTCAATTCATAGTTTAGAAAAAAAAATAGCTGCTTCTATCAGCCTGTTCGTTTGGCTGTAGCTTGTCGTAAACGATCGTAAATTTTCAGCCGAAACAGTATTTTTTCTCTCACACAAACCAGCCAGCAGTACTTCTTTACGAACCAGCAACGAAACGAACTAGCCAACCGAACAGGCCGTATGTATTTCTGTGATTAACTCCGGTTCATAATTTTCAGAATAGCCACCACTGGCCATGGATCATATAATAACGGGTGGCCTAAAGCCTTTAATCTATACCACTAGTTTTAGGTTCCTTTGGAATCCAAGAATTTCATTCGAATTATTGTAGCCTTGTAGGTTTATTACGCCTGATGCCCGTCATCTCATGACCGGATGGTGGGTAACAAAAGCATGGCTGATTGGATGTGGAGCCGACGCGCTGATGGCATGCGCAAAAGAGCACGCAGCAACGCAGGAGCGTTCCAGATCCGCTTTTCGATAGCACGATGGTCGATGGCTTTCCCATCCCAAATTCCTTCGAGATGGAGTAGGCCGATAGCCCCCATAGCCGGACATATCTTCCTTTGATCCTTTGCTAGATCCGACGGCGATGCGCTCGCTTTTGTGTGAATTCTACGTCCGGCTCGCCAGCCCAGCCCAGACGTGCCCGGCACTTCGCGGGACGAAAAAAAAAGAGAGAATTGTTGCGTTGCGTCTCCAGAACTCCCTCCTCGGCGGCTCGACTTGCCCCTGCGCCAACGGCCAACGCCGATATTCGTGGGAGTTTGGCGTGCGGCCCGCGGGCATGGCGCGGGAGGACGCGTACGGGCATCAATAATTCAGCAACGCGGTTCGACTCAGCACACAGTCACTCGCCCACCATGGGCCCATGGCACCATGCTGCGCACGGACCTACCTTACGGTCTCTCCGACATCCAGGAACACCCAGCCCCTGGCAACCAGCCGCGCCATGTGCGAGCGGCGCGAACTCCCGGCACGCCCCGCCGTAGCGCTCCAGACAGACACAGACGTGTCGAGGGCGCCGGGCGAGCGCAGCTATCGCGGTCGCGGGCGGACAAAAGGCGCGGCGCTGGTGCGGCGCAGGCCTCAATAATGGCTTCGCGGCGCCTAACCCGACCGGTCGATCGCCCAACGGACACATGGCAATTGCTCCGTCGCCAACGCACGACGACGAGGGCGAAAGGGAAAGGGAGAGGCAGGACACGTCGATCCCAACCATTGCTCGTGGGGTCGCATCATTCAGGCCCCCGCCTCCGCCTGTGGAAAGATGCCCGTTTTTTGTTTCCGTAAACGAAAACTTCGGAGCATTTCCGTTCACTCGTCCCACCGGCCGGGCCCACGAATAGATCAGCATCTTGCCGTGCCCTTTGTTAATCTGTTTCCGAATACGGCCGCCTGCCGGGGCCAACAAATCACAATCTGCTCCCGCTAAACGTGCTCTTAGCACTAGTCACGGTCAGTACTCCAGAAGTAAACACCTTTTCAAGCTTCCTGCGTGGTGATGCGCCAATTTCTGCACCTATCATCGCCCCGTTAATCTAGTTTAGTCAAAGGATGGAATCAACACTTTTAGCATGTTATTAATCAACGGCCAAAAAGTTGTGATTAACGATTGGCAGGCACTACATTGTGCATCTGTGCATGCTAGGCCAAGATCCAACAATTCGCTGTTCTTGTTCCTTGTTCCGACTGGCTTTAATTCCTCGTTTGAGAGAAGAAAAAAAGCGTATATTATATTCATCTGATCAGTAACTACTATTAATACTAAATCAAAATAGAACATAATTGCTATAAGTCAGTCGGTTGATTTAGCCTCATGCGACATTTGATTTTGTGGCCGCCATATCAGGAATCGCACGGTCGCGGTGCTCCGTCAGTTGGTCGCGCGAGACGGGCTGCCGGTCCCCACGCCCCATGCGACATGTGATTTTGTGGCCGCCAGATCAGGAATCACACGGTCGCGGTGCTCCGTCAGTTGGTCGCGCGAGACGGGCTCCAGTCGCACCACACACCACATGCTCGTGCTCCAGCGTTCCAGTCCCACCTCCAGAATATCCATGGTTGGTCCGTGTACGCACGTGTCTATGCCCATGTATAGCTCTAGCGAAATACACGTAGTATATATCATGTACGCTCAACCTACATGTATATTTATATTTTTTTTAAAATTTGTGAACAATTTGATGATATTTATGAACAATTTGATATATATTTATCTGATATCTAAAATCCATATAAATAATTCATAAATTTTTCTAAAATATTAACATATATTTGTGTTATTTTCAAATTATACCACGATGTTCATTAAATTACACTAACCAAGTCATTATAAATATAGTAATAATTTAATATAAATATAGATAGAAGACCGTGTAAGCATAGGTAGCATGGACAAAAACATCCGAATGTCACGTAGACAGATCCTCAAATAGAAGGATGGTAAAAATGGGGGAGAAATTAGGTTGAATGGATTTCAAAAGGGCTAAAAGAGAGCAATCATGGAGCACATGATTTTGCTCTCCTCCAAGAATCGTCATATCCCCCGGCGGAGATCCACGACGACCACGCTAACATTGTCAGCGCTTCGCCGGGCCAGCGCCAGCTTCGCCAGCAGCATGGCCGCGTCGTAGCACGCCTTGTCGGAATCCTCCTTGCTCACGCCGCCCTTGACAACCGCGGGTCCGTTCTCGGCGTCCGAGTCGGCTGCCGGGAGGGCAGCCACGCTGTTCGGCCGGGCGGCCGGGCGCCGGCGGACCGTTGCTGCGGAAGCACGCCCGGACGACCTCGCACGCCATCTCGTTGGTCACGACGTCCCACAGGCCGTCGCTGGCCAGGATCAGGCACTCGTCATCGTCGGTGCGCTCCGTCACCGTTACCTCTGGCTCCGACGACACGAACGGCTTTAGGTATCCATCGCCTGCGCGTGCATGAGGCGGGTCAGTTCGAATCCAGTTCAGCGAGTGGCCGCTAAAACGACCCAGTGGCAAGGGCGAGTCAAACTAGAGCTCACCTATGGCTCGAGACATGGCGAGGACGCCGAGAACACGAGCACCATCCCAGTAAATGACGCGGCCGCCCGCCGCCTCGATGCGCGCCAGCTCGTCAGGTCGGTCAGGCTGAACGAATCAGGAAATTGAGCACGTCAAGCTCGTGGACAAGTTACGAAGACGCGGGATGGGAGGGAGGAGCAGCGCCCCGTGATCCGTGAACCGCGATGCACGAGAGCAGTGTGATACAGACCTTGTGGTCGACGGAGAGCGGAACAGGGACGACGGCGCGGGAGAGGACGGCGCGCGAGTCGCCGGCGTTGGCGACGACTATGTGGGTGGGGCTGACGACGGCGACCACTGCGGTGGACCCCACGTGATTGCAACGCAAGGGCATCTGCTGCTCGCACCTGCAGGCGGGCTCGTCGCGGCTGCGGCTGGTCGCCCAGCTGGCGGCCTGCTCGTCCAATCGCGCGAAGCTCCTCTCCATCACGCCCTTCCACGCCGTCTCTTCGCCAGAACCTGACTTCCTGTACTCGTCCGCGACCACCTCATGCATCATGTCCTGGCATATCGTTGCTACCTACAGTAATAGCGCGAAACTGCGATCAGCATACAGAACTCTGCACAGACATTTAAATTCCTAGATGTTCGTGTATGCCGTACGTGGGAGCAGCCGTGGCCGTCGAAGACGCCGAAGAAGTGTTGCTTGCTGGTGCCGGGCAGGAAGTCCGGCCTGATGGAGACAGTGTCCTCCATCTCGCGACGTCGGCCGCAGACGGAGGTGACCCCGTACCTGGGCAACCGCTCCGGCAGGGCCGACCTGTCGGAGTCCGAGCCCGCGTCGGGGCAGGAGCCGGACAGCGTGCGCGCCAGCCTCTGGCGCTTGGCGGCGCGGACGTCCCCCGCGACCGGCGCCTCGGGATCGCTCGCGATGCGGAACCTCCTCATCTCCAACCTGCGTCGCCTCCTCTCTAACGCGGAGGAGGCGACTGCCACGGCGGCGGCCGCGGCGGAGACTGAAGCCGCAGCCACGGCGGTTGCTGGCGTGGACTTGGCTTCCTCGCAGCAGATCTCGGCCATTGGAGGCAAGAGCAAGTGGATGTCTCCCACAACGGCGCGTACGTTACGTCCAGGCGCGTCCGGCAAGCCCCAGGCTACCTAGATTTTCTCTGCCCGCCCGCCGAGCGCACGTCGCCGTCGCCCTCGGAAATTGGCGAGGCCTAAACGAAGCACGCTTCCCACGCGAAGCAACGCAGGCGACCCCTCGTCCGCTCTGTCACCCGGGAAATGGATGCAATGGAAATGGAAAAATAGCAGCAGTAGACAGCAGCGCAGTAGCGAGGCGAATCGGGCACGAAAGCTTCGGGGGCAGTAGAAAGAGAGGGGAGGAAGAGGAGGCGAGGCGGGCAGGGGCAGGTGCCCGTCGCCGTCACGGGCAGCGGGCCTCGACAGGTACAGTTGTTGCGACGTGGTCCTGGTCTGGCGCATCGGGGCCGTCCGTCCCGGGAGGATCAGGACGCGTGTTGGTATCTTGCTCAGCGCGGTCGACACGTGGTGTCCATCAGGCCTCCGAGGCGGGCGAGTGCGGGGCCCACGAGGAAGTTAATGGTAACGGCGACCACGGCGCCGGTGTTATCGCCTAATCCCCGTGCTGCGCACACGTGGCGCTCCCCGGTGGCGCAGTCCGCCTCGGCAGCTGATTTAATTGATGCCGTGCGGTCCCCACCACATGGCCTCTGTCTCTTGGGCTGCCCAGAAAATATCTGGGCTCCATTTTACTCTTACCTACCACTCTATGTTGGAGCCAATGACATGTGGGGACAGGTCGAAGCATTGCCCACCTGCCAGGGAGAAAGAGCTCGTGCACAGGTGTAGTCACGGAGAAGGGACACGTGGTTTGGGGGCGGTCGCAATCAGTGGGAGGGTGGTCGGTCGCGGCACGGGTGGACACGTGTAGAGGGCTTGCGTGGGGGAGGCGGGCGGGCGGGCGGTAGTTGGGCGCTGGCGTGGCCACGTTGGTGGTGACTGATGAGGGGAGGTGAACCTGGGGAAAAGCGAGGCGGCACGGAGAGAGAAGCCACGCCGTGCCGAGATCTGCCGCTGCAAGCTGCGGGAGGCGGCCGGGCGGGGCTGGGCTGGGAGGCTGGTGTGGCGCACGCTGCGGAGTGCGCGTGCCTGAAGTGCCGAGCGCCGGTGGCCCGGTGCAATGCATACGCGGCCCCTGCCGAATGTGGGGCAGCTGGTGCTGAGTCACCGCTCGTCGGATCGGCATGGGGGAAACTCGGGCCGGCGCGCACTTCCACAGTGCCGCGACCACGCATCCAGATGATGCCCGTACACCGTAGCTCGGCGCGTGTACTTCCACAGGGCCGTTGGCTCGTTGGTTTCGGAACTTATTATTTATGGCATAGTATTTTTTTCGCGATAAATCAGTACTAACTTAACTTATCAGCTTAAAAACCATCCACAAATAAATTGATAAAGTGATAGCTGCAGTGGTACCTGCAGTCTGTCAGTGCAGTGGTGAGCAGCCCGTTCATGGACGGGCCACAGTGACCGCCGTTTTCTTCATGCTCGCTTCGGATTGGCCATGACCTGCCAAGCATGATCTCCGGTCAAGAAAACCGGCTCAAATCAGATCAGTCAATGCGCCAATGAAATTACTCCCACCGAGGGGGAGGACTAGCCCTTTTTTTTTATTTACCAAGGCGTAAGTAGGATTGTGTATATGCACCACCATGTACGTCGTCGTGCGCTGGCTGTTTAGCGACGGCTCTTTGCAAGTCGTACCAGTCAATTTCTTGGTGGCGTCTCTGGCGTGATAAACGTTTACTCACTTTTTCAAGCATAGACACGGAGAGAACTAAAAATACACCTACTCACGCTACGTTCTCGCTTTCCGAAAACTCAATTTCTTTTAACTTTAACTAACTATATATAAAAGAATATAACTATTTATAATACATAATTAGTATCATTAGATAGGTCGTTGAATATACTTTCATACAATAAACTTATATGAAGATATAAATATTGCACGTATTTTTCACAAACCAAGTTAAAGTTGAGAACGTTTGATCTACACGTATTTCTATTGTGGGATGGAGGGAGTACTCTGTCTCGTGGGTATAAATGCATTCTTGTCACTCTGCTTGAAAGAAACAACTACCATGCGGCAACAGCGTGACGTCTGGACAAAGAGAATGAGCACTGAAGAAGAATTTTGCCCTATACATCATGGCTGACGCCTTGACAATCACTATCAGTGACGATGCTATGATGCAGGACTGCCTGCCTTTTGCTTTGAATTCTGTTTAGTTCGGATCCATAGAGAAAGACACTCTAAAGCTTGATGTCTTCGTTTTCTACTAATAAGGAGAAAAAAAGTCTCCTTAGTGCCTACATTCTGGTGGACAACTGGAACCAAAACATATGAATGAACAAACATCTCGCTGAGTGCTACACAGCTAACTCATGAGCTACACCCACCCTCCTGTTTCTCTGTCTCCGCATACTTGCATGTCTTTCTCTCCATCAGTTTCACAAATCCAAAGGATTGAAAATTGGTCACATCATTGATTCATTGTTCTATTGTGGTGCATGGTTATCGTCACTACGAGTATTCTAAGTTAACATTATGATTATGCCAAAATAAATGGATATCCACCCTTCAGCTTTCTAAAACGTTTTTATAGAATGTGCTGAGTATGTTTTTAATTATTAGAGAGAAATTGTAATACAAAATGGCTGAACTAAACCCATGAGGAAGCGAGAGAAAGAAAAAAAAACAAAGAGAATAATATAGTAAAAAGACAGACAAAGAAAAAAGGCACCTTAAAGCACCGGGAGTTTCAAATTTATGCTAATCAGAACTTACAACCTAATATTTCCTCCAAATTTTCATACTGGGTCTACTTCAAGTTAAAGTACATGACGTGTACAACTTTCATGTTTCCACCTGGTAAAGTATTTATATAAAAACTATTTAAAATGGCACCTCAGCATGTGTACTTAATTTAATTTTCCAGAACTTAGGTTTCTACCTTGTGGGCAGATTCCAACCTAAGTTTTTACTTTTTAGACCATTGTTTAAACATTAAGAAATCAAAATATTAAAAGAGATCAAGCATATCATACATATCTCACATCATAGCTCATATATTAACGTTTTGCAATGTTTATTGAAACAATTTAATCTAAAACACTCTCAAACTGCTTCAACGACAATATGTTCTATGTTTCATGCGTTATAAGATATGCATGCCATACATGTGCATTGTCTTTAGCATTTATGAAAAAAATTAGCTTGTTTTGAACTCTTTTAAATTTGATTTCACATTAAAACCTTGGTTCGAGTATGTGCTTTGTTAAGGAACTTTGAATTTGGCTCGAGCATGTGTGCTGATAAATTACATGACAAAATAGGCCGTGCTGTAATTAAAAAATACCACTAGTACCTTTTTTCGTTAAAATAAAAAAAGTTCCAGTATTTCTGGCATCTTGGGCCCAGCACCCGTGAACAGATTAACAAGACTTCGATACATACAAGCCCAGCCCATGACTTATCGCGGTCCATGGAGTCAAGATGCATACACTGATGACCTAATGGGCTAATAATGGCTATTGTAAAACGGCCCGTACAGAATATCCTTTGCATGTAGCGCTCGCCGATCGATGTTAGGCATGAAGCCCACTAGTTCTACTTGTGCCAGTGAAGCAACACTGACCGATCGATGTTAGGTTGCAAGCGGACACCAATCTGTAGATATGTTTGCCTGGGCCGGCAAGCGAAAACACGTCTGAGTTACCCAGAACGTGCTTCTCATACGATGGCAAGTGCCAACACCTCCATCTTACCGTCTCCGATACGTAGGACCCCGGGAGCGAGTCGTCGACGTATGCAGTGTAATAGTCAGAGCAGGGTCAAGCGTAAACCATCGAAGACCACCTGTTTACCTCCTTCAAATTCCCAACTGGCAACTGAAGAGAAGTTGCATGAAAACTTGAAGTAAAGACAAGCTATTCCGCGTCTAGCTGATGAAGCGTTCCCGTGCAGTCCCTCACTTTCAGCCAGGGTCAAAAGACTCATGACTCTGGACCTCACTTTCACCAGCAGCTGGTCATGAGAAGTAATCCGGTCCAATACAACGACGAGGCAGACAGATCACAGGTCGTAAGCCTAACGCCGCGAACCGGCCAGAATTCTCGCTTTCTCTCGTGTCCTCACCGCACTTGTCCGGTTGCCCCCTGCGCCTTTTTTTTCCTTTTTTATTTACAGTTAATGGAATGGAAGAGGTTGATGTTTACCTATTGATGAGGGGTCTTCGTCGCCGTTTCCTCCACAGCTCCACTTGTCACTTGTGCGGTTGTTTCTTACAGTACTCAATTGAGAGCTCGGATCCCCGGCGAGGCGAGGCGATGCGATGCGATGCGCCGCCGTCGCTTTCTCACTCCGGTCTGAACTCTGAACGTCCACTCGTCTTTGACCTGCAAGTGCAGCGATCCCTCCCACTCCCGCTGCCACACGCGCACAAACCCACCATAACTTTTCTCTCTTCCTCACTCGTTTTTGAGTGACTCCGTGTGTATGTCATGTCAGTCCGCGCGGCTCCGATCAGCGCACCACCATCGACAGACAATGGCGACGCTTTTCAATTTCGTTCGATCTCTTCTCGGCCCCCCTTCTGGTTACCCCTTTCAGATGTGGTGGACGAGCCAAGAGGGCGACCAGATCGAAATCATTGCAGTGCTGCTCGGTGCGGGGACACGCGCAAACGCTGACGGGGACGCAAACGTCCGTGGTACGTACAACTCCACTCCGTGGTACTACGCTCTCTGTCGTCATCGTGCGCCTGTTTTAACCTGGAGCGCTGTTGTAAAAAATAACCTGGAGCGCGGCGACCTGAACCGAACTTTTACCTGGCTGACTAGGCCTGGTTTAGATCATTTGCCAAAACTATACATCATATCCCATCGAATGTTTGACATATACTATTTGCACGATTACTTTGCGAGACGAATCTTTTAAGCCTAATTAGTTCATGATTTGATAATAAAATAATACAGTAACACATGTGCTA